GAGTCCTCATCGCTCTCTGCAGCTGCCTGAGACGGGCTTGGAGCGAGGGGGGGTCGGTCTCTTTTTCAAGTAACAAGCGATAGGATGAGAGGAAACGGCCTCAAGTTGCACCAGGGGAGGTTTAGGTTGGACATGAGGAAGAATTTCTTCACTGAAAGGGCTGTCAAGCGCTGGAACAGGCTGCCCGGGGAGGTGGTGGAGTCACCATCCCTGGAGGTATCTGAAAGACGTGCAGAGGTGGCGCTTGGGGACGTGGTTTAGTGGTGGAGTCGGCAGCGCTGGGTCAATGGTGGGACTCGATGACGTTAAGGTTCCTTTCCAACCTAAACAATTCCATGTCAAATCCCCACTTGGGTGCACAGGAGGTGCCCAAAGTACCTCCAACTCCTTCCCCTGTGCTTTGTCAGGGGTGAGGGGGTGTCTGGGTTGGGGCACAGCCCCCAAGCACCTTTGGCCTGGCCACAGCACGCTTCCTTTAGCTTCTCTTTTCCAAAAGGCTCAGCTGCCTCAAATATTCTTGTGCTTCTCTCTATTCTTCAAGCCCAAGCTCAGCTTTTACCTCATTTCAGTGGGATCTCAAGGCTTGGAGAGCCAGCCTTGTGGGGGCTACACACACACGCTGTAAAAATCAATCCTCCTGAGAGAGGAAAGCATTTCTAGGAGCACAAGCTGCTCACCAGCAAGGTCTAGAAACAAACCATCATCATCAGCATCCTCATCCAGGTTGAGGTGAGGCACGGAGAGGGTCATCATTTCCCAGAGAGTCAGCCCAAAAGGGAAGATGTCGGCCTTGTCGGTGATCACACCGTCGTCCTGCAGAGCTTCCTTGGGCTTCCAGGGCTCGGTGCCGATGTAGCACATCTCCCGGTCGCTCACTGGAAGGGAACAACCCGGCTCAGGTGCCTGCTGGGGCTTGCAGACACCAAGACACCGTCGCAGCTGCCCCCACGGCGGGGATTGAGCCTGTCTGTTGGCTCAGGCGTGCTAAAGCCGCAGGGCAGGATCTCTTGGAGGCCTGAACCTCTTTTTCTTTCACATCCCTGTAGTCTCAAATCCCCTGTTAACCCGTGGTTTATTCCGCAGCGGCGCTCGTGCTTCTCCTCCGCGGTGCCCGGTAGGGTCTGGGGAGAAACCTGCGCGAGGAGATTTCATGGGGGAGGGTCTGAGGCCGCGCCGAGCGTGGGGAGAACTGAAGCTCAGAGCTGTGCTCTGTAGCTCAACCCTGGCTGCGAGACACCCCGCCATGAAGAAGTGAGAAATACCCACGTTTTACCCAAGATTTCCCCTTCCTCAGCTTGGGCTCGCCCGGGGAAGCGAGGCCGGAGCAACGGCACCTTCCCCAGACGGCGCCAGGGGACAAAGCCAACCTGACCCTGGTCCTCCCGTCAGCCTCCACCACACGGTGCCTCCCGCCAGCCACGCACTCCTCCTCTTTTCTTTACTCCAACCCAAACCAGGTTCTCTCCACCGTGCTCAATTTAATGCCTCCTTGATCTTAATTAGCCTTGGGAGAGCCCAAGCGCTCAGCGCTCAGCCCCACGAAGGACGGACCAGCTCTGACTCGATCCCTTCAATCCCCCCCTCTCAATTACGAGCCCCGCTCCCAAGAGGAGGGTCCCAGCAAATTCCCGAGCTGTCGGCAAATCTCAGCTGTCCAAGAAACTTTCCTCTCGCAGGGCTGATCTCCAAAGCCCGGCCTGTGACGAGAAGCAAATGCCAAAATCCCTCAACGCTTCGCGGGCTGTTGCGCTTCCATCCTTGGCTGCCACACGGATGGGGTCCCAGCACTCCCGCCATCACTGGGTGCCCCTTGTCTCCTCAAGACCCCGAGAAGGCCAAGCCAAAACCAGAGCTGGGTGGAGAGGACTTCTTCCCCTTAAACCAGCCCAGAAACGGTGACTTTACCCACGCTCCTCGCCAGGAGATTACGCCGGGGCGCTGCCTCCAGTGCTCTCGCGCCTTATAAAAGGGAACACGACTGCTAATAAAAACGTAAGAGGAGCTTTATAAACCATTAGGCTGTTGCAGGCCCGAGCGCTGCGTTAAAGCAGCAGGGAAAAGCAGCCTCGTAGTTAACCCGAGCGCGTTCCTGCTGTTCACAGCCAAGCCTCGACGCCGTTAGACATCTGCTTCTCGGTTAGGAAGCCCCTCTAACGCTCGCCGTCGGCTCGTGCTTCCTTCTAGCCCTACGAGGAAGATTCATTTATTCAGCTCTCTGGCAAGAGCATCTCCTCAGTGGGGCCTGATCCAGCACCCCGGGTAGGAGGGCGCTCCCGCCCGCAGGAGCGAACGGACAAGGGCGGGAGGGGTAAGAGTTGGTCCAAAAAAACGGTCCCAACCTTGTCCTCAGGGATATGGACTCCGAAAGTGAGGCTGACGCCTCGCCAGGGGTCTGCGGCGGCCTGAGGAGCAGCTGCTGCCCCTGGGGGTGGAACGCCAGGCTTGGGAGGTCCTCGTGCCCTGGGCAGAGCAAGGACGAGAGCTGCATGTGGCAGGGAAGAGCCACAGGACGGAGGTGCTGCTGTCTGCTCCTCCCTTCTAG